TACAGTTTTCTCTGCGTTTTTATAAAGAAATCATAAAAACTTATGTAAAACATAGAGAGAGACTTTAATGTGAACTCATGATCTAAAATTAGCAAATATTCACTTGTTACCATTGTGGTTTTCAATTTGTGTTAGTGTTTACTGTGTGTTATGGGCAAGAAAGAGTTGTGTTTTACAATCATGACCTAATTAATCCATGGAATAAACCTATGAATTAGGTAATATATATATATATATACTGTTTTGGGAGAGGTTCTTGCTATAGGGTGCGTGCACTCGCCAGAAAGACAGAGAGAGACAGAAAGCGAGAAATCACTCCCTAGGGGAGATGGCCATGCCGCATCCCTTCTCCTCCATTCTCCTCTCGGAAAGTATGAGCCCTAGTAATTTCTCACTAATATTTGTGTATCCTTCATTAATTTCTGAGTATAAGAATTCCCATTAAGTATTGTTATAGAGAGGCACTTGATTGAGTAAAGCACTATTTGCTATTTTAAAAGTGTAACACCATTGAGTTTCAGTCCTAGTCCCAAATCCATTAGTTCACTGTATCCTTCTAGATACAGTCTACGAACTTTTGCTGTATATATTCACAAATGTATATACCAGATACTCACAATGTGTATCATCATTAAAGATTTAAATGTGACTTTACATATAGAAATCTCAGGATGCTATAAAAGTTGTAAAACTTTTTTCCCTAAATATTTTGGTTATTGGTATCTATTTTATTTCATCACATATTTGGTATTCAATTGAATGGACAAATATATAAACATTTATTCATATGTGATCTTACATCTTTCATTAATGTGAATATTTCTGATATGAGTCTTTGGTAAATATTCCCTGATGGAAGTAGAGATGTGTTTCTCTTCTTAAAAATTTAACCCTGGGACCAGCAGTTAGCATAATAGCTACAACGCTGGACTCCCATGTGGTCGACCACGGTTCGAGTCCCGGACCTGGTGGCTTAAACTCACGCCGGGTGAGTGTGCGTGCGTGCCCAAGATCCCAAGAAGAGAATGGAGGAGAAGGGATTGCGGCATGACCATCCCACCTGGGGGGTGATTTCTCACTTTCTGTCTCTATGTCTCTCTCTGTCTGTCTGGCAAGCGCACGTGCCCTATAGAAAAACCTCTCCAAAAAAAAAAAAAATTAACCCTGAGATTAAGGGCACAAATTTATTACATATTAAAAAATTATCCAAAATCAGATTCTACCAACTGATATTTGCATTAGCAGAGTGCTGTTTTCCCAAATCTTAGCCCATTGCTACTCAAGAGGTGGTCCCCTGTTAGTTTAGCTCCATAAACTGTTTGCTATAGGTCTACAACAAAGTAAATACAAGTAAGAAAAAGAATTATTCCAACTGACGCATAATACAACTAAATTTTTAATATTTGCCTTGCTAATATTATGGGACTGGGAATATTACAGATATTCTGTTTACATTTACTTAAACATTAGAGAATCTGAATTAATTTTTGTTAAGTGATATTTCATAGTTTTCTTTCTTATTCACATCCAGCATCCATTTTCCTACTGGGCTGATTATTTCTGATTTTGTTAGTGCCACTTTATATTAACTAGTATAACCTTTTGTTGCATTCTTTTCTGATCTTTTGCTTAATATTTTTTTAAATGATCAAACTACAATAGAGCATATTTTCTTGGAACTTGGAGCATGCCACACACCCTAGTAGGCAATGTAAATACAATAATGAATAAAACAAAATTTTGAAATCCAGGTGCTTACAATATAAATACAAACTTTAATTGTATTTTTTTAAATAAAATAAAATAAGTAATAATAAATAGAACAAAGGGGAAGAGGGGAACTTTCTGTCTCTATGTCTCTCTCTGTCTGTCTGGCAAGCGCACGTGCCCTATAGAAAAACCTCTCCAAAAAAAAAAAAAATTAACCCTGAGATTATGTGCACAAATTTATTACATATTAAAAAATTATCCAAAATCAGATTCTACCAACTGATATTTGCATTAGCAGAGTGCTGTTTTCCCAAATCTTAGCCCATTGCTACTCAAGAGGTGGTCCCCTGTTAGTTTAGCTCCATAAACTGTTTGCTATAGGTCTACAACAAAGTAAATACAAGTAAGAAAAAGAATTATTCCAACTGACGCATAATACAACTAAATTTTTAATATTTGCCTTGCTAATATTATGGGACTGGGAATATTACAGATATTCTGTTTACATTTACTTAAACATTAGAGAATCTGAATTAATTTTTGTTAAGTGATATTTCATAGTTTTCTTTCTTATTCACATCCAGCATCCATTTTCCTACTGTGCTGATTATTACTGATTTTGTTAGTGCCACTTTATATTAACTAGTATAACCTTTTGTTGCATTCTTTTCTGATCTTTTGCTTAATATTTTTTTAAATGATCAAACTACAATAGAGCATATTTTCTTGGAACTTGGAGCATGCCACACACCCTAGTAGGCAATGTAAATACAATAATGAATAAAACAAAATTTTGAAATCCAGGTGCTTACAATATAAATACAAACTTTAATTGTATTTTTTTAAATAAAATAAAATAAGTAATAATAAATAGAACAAAGGGCTAGAGGGGAGACTTTGATCAGATCAAGGGAATTCTCTCTCAGGAGGTGATGTTTAAGGTAAGACTTGAATGATGAAAGGAAGAAACTGCAGGATGCCCTGGAAAAACTGTTTTTTTCAAATAGATGGAGTAGTAAGTGTCAAGGCCTGATATAGCCAAGCAAGTAGTGAGCCAATTTAGTACTAGCATAGTGAATTAGGAGAAAAGTGATGGTAGATGAGATCAGTGAAGTAGAAAAGAATGAAATATTAAATGATTTAATACGCTAAAGAAAGAATTAAATCAAATGTCTTTTCTTCAGGTGAAAAATAGATAAATATTGTGAATATCACATAGTTTCAGTAGAGTGTTCATTTTATTCTAATTGCAATGAGAATGCACTAGAATCACAGTTGGAATCCACAAGAAGCTGATAGAGAGAGTAGTTTATTCTGCTTTATTAAAATATATCTGGCTGCTTTGTGGAGAATAGGCCACAGTAGACCAAGAGTAAGAACTAGTATAGCAATTCAATACCTGTTATATTAGTGACATGGTGGTTTAGAGTTGGAATGTAGAAGATTGGAAATGATGAGAAAAGGTCAGACTCAGATTAATACAATCAATCTCATTTTCCATGTATTATGTGAGAAAAAGTAAGAAACTAAAGATGACACCAAGTACTTGGCCTAAGCAATAGTAGGAAAGTCAAGTGCCATTAGTTGAGTTCCAGAATATTCCAAGAAGGGAAAGTCTGGGGATATAATGAGGAGTTCATTGGATAAACTAGGTGTGAATGGACTATTAGACATTCAAGGGTTCCTATTGAGGCTGCTTATATAGATACTTATTGAGATTAGGGGTTTGAGAATCATCAGTATATCAATGATATTGAGTTATGAGTCTAAATTACATTACATAAGGAAGAAACATAGAGGAAAAAATGGGTCCACAAGAGGAGCCTGCAATACTTTAATATATAGAATTGTACTGCAGGAGGTAGAATCAGGAAAGGAGACTAAGTCAGTATAGTCATTAAGGTAAGAGTGAATGGAAATGGAACATCGATTTTTTTTTTTACTTTTATTTTTATTTATTTATTTTTCTTTTCTTTAAATTTATTTTTTTACATTAATTCACTATACATCATTACACCATACAAAATGAATTTTCCACCCAGAATACACTGTATATTGGCTCAATAAAGCACATGAACATACATGTTATCAACAAATAATTTTCCATTTCTTATATCCTGTGTTTATTGCTTTTTTGGTTTTTTTGCCATCCTTGATTCTCTATCCCTTGCCTTCTGCCCTGTCCCACCCTCCTCCCACATTGTCTCTGGTATCCATGGTTGCTTTCTTTGCCTTTCCCCCCCCATTTAATTGATTTGCTAATGTACTTAACTAGTCTAAATATTTCCAATAGCTAGCACAGCTGATATATACATATACATGAACCCAAGTCTGACTTTAGGCATAAACCTCAGTGAGTAGAATGAACATACTATAAAGTAGTACCTAGCTGGGGCTATATAGCTTACTGCAGTCATCAAATACGCATTTTTAAACATTTCGATAAAGAACAGTTTTAGTGTTTTTTTTTCTCCTGAAACTTTTTTTTAAAATTAATTTACATTCATTCCCTGAGCATCGTCACAACATACTAAATGTGGTTTTCCATCTAGAATAAACTGCATAGTGGCTTAATCATGCATGTGATCATCAATAATATTCCATTTCTAGTTTCATATATATATCTATATTTTTTTTTTT